GGACTTTATAAGTGCTTCCTGCTGATTGACCGTTGGAGAATAATTTTCAGTGCCCTTTTTCTTTTCCAAATGGATCATCATTTTTGCTTTTGTGGTTTTGACATCATGTTATCATAGTCACTCTTATTTGCTTCTATTACTCTAGTCTTTCTAGGTTGTTTATTTTGTTGTTAATGGTCTCTGAAGGTCTCAAGGAACATTGATCTGGTCTATGGAGGAGGAAGCATTGGGTTAATGGGTTTGGTTTCCCAAGCTGTTCATGATGGTGGCCGGCATGTCATAGGGTATCACTCTTTCTCTCTTCCTCACCCCTTCTTCTTTTGATAAACTTTTCTCTTTCTCTATTTTCTCCCAAGAATTTTGGGTGGAAGGAGGATCAAGAAATAAGAGTCAATTCTGCTTGTGTTGGTCTCTTTCTCCATTGACACTATTTGTCATGTTATTGTCTCTTGCAGAGTTATTCCCAAGACACTTATGCCTCGAGAGGTATGTCTGATTCAGCCAGCAGAAAAAGCTTGTAGTTTTTTTCTCTATTAAAATATTTTGCCAGTTGTTTCTATTTTACTTTTCTTGTGTTTCTTCATCACTATTCTGTAGCTTATTTGTTTTCAGTTAAGCCTTCACTACATCCTGGTTCATATAAGTTTTGTTGTTAAAAGGTTTAGGTAGTCTAGTTTATACGTGTTTTTCTTTGGCAAATGAAATCTTTATGCGTTCAGCATGTTTTCTCTGTGCAGATTTTCCTTCATTGGCTAGAATTTTTTTTTTATTTTTTATTATTTTTTTAGTATCAATCTCTTGGATTATAAATTATTGACGTCTTTATAGCTAGCTAGGTTAAGCATCGGAGAAACAACCCTTCATCTCTCATAATTGCTCCTTTTCTCTTTACTTTTTTGATCTTATTTTCTGTTCCATCCCCTGTGCCATGGTACCTTTTGCAGCTAACTGGTGAAACAGTGGGAGAAGTAAAGGCTGTAGCTGATATGCACCAAAGGAAGGCAGAGATGGCCAAGCATTCAGATGCCTTTATTGCCTTACCAGGTTAGCATGAACTGAGAATACTTAGTTCCATTAGAAAAAGTAGAAACATCAAGGTGCATGAAGCTTTCTAGTTTTATCATGTACCATTGACCATATCTCAGTGTTTTATTCTTTCGAGAATTGTTAAATATAATATTCCCATTGATCTCCCTGTGTTGTTTTCTTATTCAACATTCAACTGGTTTTTCACTTTGTTAAACTTTTCTTTACTAAACATTATTAAAAGGTTTACCACGCCTAATAATGAAAGTTGTTGATGTTGACTTGGCATTAACTATTATCTCGTGTATGTATGATTTTGAAGTCTTACGTAATAATGTGGACTAGTCATCTACTTTGAGTATGCACCATTGGACAGTGATTTTTGTAATTTTAAGTAGTATCAAATCAACTGGTGTGAGATTTTTATTCAATTAAATTTTACAGTGCTGCAAAACCGGCTTGTGACTTTTCTTTGATAATAATTCATGCATCCCAATGCCTATGATGATTAGAGAGCGACCCTTCAGAAGTACTTCAGAAGTAGCTGATCCTGACCTTCTCTGAGCCCTTAACATCTGTGGCTAAAATTTCAAAACTTCTGCGGCTCTGAGTAACTGTAGTTCTGGTTGAATACCATTTTTGCCTCTACTTTCCTTGGAACCATGACGTGTTTTATATCAAACTTCGTGCATTTGATGGTGAAGGGATAGTAAAGAAAAAGAAGAACTATCACAAGATAACGTTTCCAACTAGCACCTGTACCTGACATGGAATAATGCCTTACCCTTTTCAAAGACTTATTTCTTTGTAGTTATCATTCTGAGAGTAATTGAGTGCTGAAAATTAGAGACAGATACAGGAGGCACACAAAGACAAAGTTGTCAATCACTCTCTATCTTGGGATCCCTCGTGTGAAAGTGGATTCCCGAAGTTCCAAGAGTAAATAAGAGGGAAGGTGTAAAGACAAAACCGATAGATGTCCTTAATGACCTCTCACTTCATGCTGCAAAGTTGTCAATCGATAATTGCATTTTTTGAACACTTGCACAAAGACAAGGATACTAAATAGTAAAACACTACATACATGCACCCCAACATGGAATAGTTAAATCCCAAAATTGTGGATAAAAAGACAACACGGTTGAAATAAAATTAAACAGTGAAACATGGTTCTCCAATTGTTGAAATAAATTCCAGTTTCTCAACTACCAGGGTATTACCATCTCAATCATGGTTGCTTATCTTTTGTTCTAGAATTAATTTATTGATAAAATTACGCAAATTACATGCAGGTGGTTATGGGACTCTAGAGGAGCTTCTTGAAGTCATAACCTGGGCACAACTTGGGATCCATGACAAACCGGTAATTGACTTGTACCATTTTGTTGGGGACCAATATTATTATTTAATTTATTCCGTGGAGGCTCCCTGTGCTTTCAGCTTAACTAGATTTGACAATTCACAACTTGCAGGTGGGATTAGTAAATGTTGATGGATACTTTAATTCATTGCTATCATTTATTGACAAAGCTGTGGAAGAGGGATTTATTAGTCCTAATGCCCGCCACATAATTGTATCAGCACCAACATCAAAAGAGTTGGTAAAGAAATTGGAGGTAATTTTCATAGGATGACATCATCAACCAACACAAATCAGCACATTTCTATCATAAAAGATAAGGGTTTATGTAAACACTCATGCAGAATTGAGCACAAAATGATATTTTATATGTTTAACTCACAGGATTATGTTCCTTGTCACGAAAGTGTTGCTTCTAAGTTGAGCTGGCAAATGGAGCAACAACTCACTTATCCCGAAGAGTATGACATCACAAGGTAGCTAGCTGATTTTGCTTCATTTGCACGGAAGATGACACTAGATAGAATTTTGGAGGTGGAAGAAGCTAGTGTGGAATATCAGTATTCTGTTTTGTTTTTACTTTAAAAAAAAAAAAAAAAAAAAATTTCTTTTGTAAAGTACTGGGTTGACCTGAGTATGTGAAATTACTTCGTTCCCTTGTGAAACAGATTTCCTTTGAAGTTGTAAGTATTAGGGGCTTCTCATCTTATTACTCAATCTCAACTAATTTCAAGTTAAAATGATCTTTAATGTACTTTGAATTTATATTCTAATGCCTTTATGGAAACCTCTATTGTGTGATTTGGCTGAGCAAAGTAGCAAATACACAAAACCACTTAAAAACATGACTTTATTCGGGGTAGTGAACACAATCAACGGACTATGGTCCAACTTGAATAGAGTGAAATGTTGATAGTTAAGAACGGACCAATTATGTAACAGACATGTCCTTGAAGAAGCTGGTTTTAGAGTTTAAGTCTTGGCAAGCTAAAGACAACATACAAGAAACTGACCCTACAAACAACCAATTCTTGAATGAAAGTGCAATGGCTGCATTTTGTAAACTACTCACCAAAATTTGACACCCAAGTATAAGAAATGCTAAGGTAGATGCTGTTTACCACATCATTTACATATGATATTTTAGTTTGTGGACCCCTCAGTTGCCAAGCAAATGTGTCATTGCCATGTGTTACAAAGGACTATGTGGGGTTCAAAGTTCAAACTATGTGCGAGGGGCCATATGCGTGTAGGCCTCGGTTACGGGATCATGTGTTACATGCATAGAACTGGGGACAATATGATAGCCATAGTTGGTCCAAGTATCATCCATCAATTGCCAGTGGTTGAAAGAACTGCTTCTCGTACAGTTGGGTCTGTTGGTTTGGAGATAATTCCAGAAGCTTTGAGTGGTTGCATAGTCATCATATATGATGCATTGCTTTGAAATATTTGCTGAAGCATGGATGGCATGGCAAAGAGGGAACTGAAGGAAACACCGCTACCACCAAGGTTACAAGCCTTTGACAATTCCTTTACAGATTCTTAGTACTTAGATACAGCTTTGCAGAAGAGATATTTTCATTGTGATCTATGAAAGAGAAAAGAGAGGTGGGCATTGAGAAAATTATCCACAGCATAAAGTCCTCTACAGTATTTATTTTGCCCCATTTTCTTCCTCTTAAACATTTTACTCTAAAATTTTTGAATCAAGAAGAAAGTGATCTAAAAGTAAACTGGATGAGTAGAGCTCATATATATTGAACGAAACGCAGGAGCTACCTCCATTCATCTAAAAGCAATTAGAATGGAAATGGGAAGATCGGGTTGCCTTCTCCATATTAGTCAACATGTCTTGTAATTGAGAAATCAACTATTGGCTAATAACTAAAGAAAAGAAGGTTCACTGTGCTTTATGCAGTGCTAGTTTTGGAAAACATCCACATCTTTGGACCACTAACCTGTGGAGCACCTTTCAAGGACTATTTTTCATGTTAGGTAACATGGTTTGTATATTATGGTTCGCATTGATTTTCTCAAGTTAAAAGGACTGGCTGAGTGGCTGTGGCATAACATTGTCAAACTTTCATTCTACGTAGGACAGTTGTTGATCAATGTTACTGTGTTATGGATAAGGAAGTTATCAACATCAAAGGTCTATCTTATCTACATATGCTTCAGCATATGCAGAAATTAAGAAGCTTTTGAATCTGCAAATGCAATCTTCTAATTATGTCGGAATTATTATTCTTTTCTTCTGTCGTTTATCCCTTTTTGCTAACAGAACCATGACCTTTATTGTTTTGATGAAAAAACACGTGTTAATTTGTAGTGACATCTTATTATCATGATAGTAAATATGTTATATTTTGTCAATTTGTTCATCAATACAACATTTATCAATGATGTACACTAACAAAAAAAGTATTTGTTCGCTTGTTTGAATTAAAGTATGAATTTTTCTGTTTGAGATTTGGCCTAGTCTCTTGCTTTGTCAGCTTTGTTGCTTCTTTTAATAATATGTTGGTACTTGGCATATGATTAGTAGGTTTAGAGGGGTAAACTTAGTTGAGATGTCTTTTCCTTATTGTGATACTTAGTGTGTCATAATCTCTATTTTTTTTAAAATAAAATTTGCAAATTGAAATTTGACAGAATTTCACTGTGTAAGTTGAGTTTGCAAAGCAAATTTTCTTTTATTCTATTTCAAATTAACTTTCATGGAAAAATTTAGTTTATAATCAAACTCAATTGAAAATCAAATAAGAGATTTTTTTTTGTTTTACTATTTTAAACAAACCAAAGCTTCTCAACTAAACAACAAACTATTAAGAAAAAAACTAAAGTTTCACATCGATTAAAGATAAGGGCAAAATAAGGTGTCAAAGATAGACTTCAATCAACTTTCTTATGATGGTATCAAAGTTATCATAGATTTATTAAAAAGTGTTACCTACTCTTCATACACACACACCAAGCCCATTTGTATTGGGCATGAGGGGGGTGAAAATCCAATTCTCGTCTATCCTAAATCATTTTTAAAAAAAAAAGTCACTCATAGTTTATTCATGCATCAAGCCAAATGGTGCTAGACATGAGGGGATATATTGGAAAAACTCAAATCCTACACTGACTAGAGATTAGGCCAACAAAGAGTTTATAAGTGGGGACAAGACCTTACCTTACAAGTTGGTCAAATCAGTTTTACAAGAATGAGTTAGACTCAAACTCACATTTTAGAGTTAAAAAGAGACACCTACCATTTATACACTCACCAAACCTAATAGTATTAGGTTTAAGGGAATGTATCAGTATTGAAATAAAACCAACTCCTATTTATCTTAAATCATTTTAAAAGGATCATTTACTGTTTATACATGCACCAAACCTAAATATTATTGGACGTGAGTGGTGTATTGGAAAAAACTCATGTTCCACATTGGCTAAAGATAAGGCAAACCAAGAGTATATAAATGGCAAACAATCCTTACCTCATAAATTAATTTTGTAAAGTTGTGTTAGGTCAAAATTTAATTTTTAAGATGGTATTAAAGTTATCATAGATCCACTAAAGGGCTACCCACCATTTATATACGCACGAAAGTATTGATGGTCTAGTATGAAGAGGGAAGTAGTAGAGTATGTGACAACTTGTCTTACTTGTTAGAAAGCAAAAGTGGAGCATCATAAACCAAGTGGATTGCTATAGTTTATGAAGAGCCTTGAGTGGAAGTGAGATAACATTACTATGGACTTTGTTGTTAGGTTACCTAGGTTAGCTAAAACCAATGATGCTATCTCGGTAATAGTTGATAAGTTGACAAAGTGTGCTCATTATAACATTACTTTGGACTTTGTTCTTAGGTTACCTAGGTCAGCTAAAAAATGATGCTATCTAGGTGATAGTTGATAAGTTGACAAATTGTGCTCACTTTCTTTCTATTTGCATTAAGTGGTTCTTGGAAAGGTTGACACAATAGTACATCAGGGAGATAATTAGATTGCATGCAGTGCCTTCTAATATTATCTCAAATCATGATCTGAGATTCACTTCTAGATTCTGGCATAGTTTGTATCAAGCCTTAGGTACAAGGTTATGGTTGAGTTTTGCTTATTATCTTCAAAAAGGACAGTTTGAGAGGACAATTCAATTCTTGGAAGACTTGTTGAGAGTGTGTTCTTTAGATCATCTTGGGTGTTGGGAGGAAGTTCTACCATTGGTGGTATTTATCTACAACAACAACTACCATGCTAGTATCAGTATGGTCTGTTTGAAGCTTTATATGGAAGATGTAGAACTCCTCGATGTTTGTATAAATAAAGTGAACAATGATGGTTAGACCAAAACTGGTGTTACAAACTACAAAAAAGGTGAAGTCGATTTAGGAGCACATGAATATCGCTTAGAGTAAGAAAAGTCATATGTTAATAAAAGATGGAAGCATTTGGAGTTTGCTGAAAGAGAACATGTGTTCTTAAAGGTGACACCCACTACTAGAGTGGGAGGGGCGATAAGTTTCAAGAAATTGACTCCTAAGTTTATTGGATCTTATCAGATCTTTCGTCGTGTAAGTCATCCTACTTATCAATTGGATTTATTATCATTTCTACGAAACCTACACAATGTGTTTCATATTGCTTAGTCGAGGAAGTATGTTCATGACCCCAATCATGTGGTGGAGTCACATGTAGTGCAAGTTAAGGAGAACTTAACATATAAAACGAGATTGGTTTGTGTTGTTGATCACTAGTTGAAACAATTGAGAAGTAAACCCATCAAGTTGGTGAAAGTTGTTTGGGATGTGGAAACTAGTGAAGCTACATGTGAGCTTAAGAATATGATTGAAGATTAATACCTATATTTCTTCCTAAATAAGCAATTCTTGGGGATAAAATATTTTGTTGTTGGGGAGAATTGTAACCGTGTGATCTATGTTGTGATGTGTTTTATGTTATTTATAAGAGCTCTTAGGATTAAGGAATTCTTAAGGGTTAGGTTGTTTAGAGTTATTTGAGTTGAGGCTAAAGTTGACAAAGAATGTGAAAAGGTATATAAGGTTTTAGGAAAACATGAACTTCATAAGTTCATTTTCTTCTAAGTGTAGAGAGAAGTTAGAGAGATAGACTTTAGAGCATTAGAAGTCCAACCTTCATTCTAATTCCACCAGGAGCTTCCTTATCTCCCCCTAACAAGAATGTGTATTTGTGATGAACACATTGAAGTTGCGCTAGGTGAAACTATCATTATTGAGTAAGTTGAAGTTTCTATGGGTGTTGCAAGTTGAGGGATTATCCATAGAGGGGACCTATAGAGAGCTCGTTTATTTTTCGAGCAAGGGCCACTCAACGAGGATACCTATAAAGGGTCAAGTTCACTCAATAGAGGAAGTCATAGAGATCTTTTCTCGTTGAGCGAGAATAATCGCTCAATGAGGGGCTCATTTCAGGGTTGGGTGCTTAGTGAGGCATATGTTTTTTAAGTTATATTGTTGTGTTAATTTAATTGTGATGTTTTTGGAATACTTATGTTGTATATTAGTCATGTATGTTTTAAATTATTAAATGTTGATTAATGGCGATGGTTTTATGATTTTATGAAGATGAAAACGATG